AACCTATCCAGGTCTTGCTGCAGTCTTTCCCTCCCTACTAGCGTGCTCACCTCACCCCAAATTTTGGTATCATCAGCAAATTTAAACAGGGTGCTTTTCACCCCGTCGTCCAAATTGCTGATAAAGAGATTGAACAGTGAGGGCCCAAGGACCGAGCCCTGGGAGACTCCGCTGCCCACTTCTCCCCAGGTTGAATATGACCCATCCACCACCACCCTCTTAGTGTGACCCTTCAGCCAATCTGCAATCCATCTGACTGTGTAGGCATCAATGCCACAGTCACCCAATTTCTTAATGAGGATGGGGTGGGAGACAGTGTCAAAGGCCTTGCTGAAGTCCAGAAAGACTACATCCACAGCAACACCTGCATCCAAGGCTTTTGTGACCTGATCATAAAAGGCAATGAGGTTGGTCTGACATGACCTCCCCCTAATGAAACCATGACCTCCCCCTAATGAAACCAGGTAAGACACTTTCTTCTGTAAGGGCAAAAGTTGCTGAATCTGCACCTCTCCCAGCCCATGTGTAAATGTACAAAGCTAAGTTTTCATTTTGGATCTTCTGTATAGTAACTTATTGCATAATGTTTTCAACTAGGACATAAGAGTACAGAGCAAGGCAGATCTGGTTTTAAAATTCTCTCTGTATTTTTCTAGTTTTTTCAATAACTTTCCTTCACCTTGCTTAAAGCCCTTTTAGAACCATCATCTGTTTTAAATGGGTGCATCTACATGACATTTTTACTATGGAGCTGATTAGTTAGCTCTGCAGTAAATGTCTCAATGTCTGCACGTGCACCCCTATTAGGGTGCAGAAAACTAATTAACTCCACAGCAGGGTCATACTACTTGCAGATATATATACGACCCTGCTGCTGAGGTTTTGGGGGTTTTTTTATGCACAGCAGTGGACGTGTAGTCACTAACCCATCTGGCTGGGGCACAATGGCACTTCAGTGCAGGGGACTGTCTGCTGGCTAGCCCCATGCTGAAGCCCCCTCAGGTCCCAGCCAGTCCTGCCGCAGCACGTTGAACCTGGTCAAAGTAGCTTCAGCTAGCAGGTTGACCCCTGGAGTTCCCTGATAGCCAGGGCTGCTCCAACCTGGCTCAGTGTGCTGCAGTCTGGGTGCACATGTAAACAACATGCCTGGGAGCAATAAACTCCTGAGCAATAAGCTCTGGACTTTATTGCTGAACATTAATGGCATGTGTAGATGCACCCAATGTTTTCTTCTCCAGCCCCAGTGAAAATGTCATAAATGCAGGGGAACGATACTCATTCAGTTGTGGAACCGGAGGCACTGAAGTTGAAAATCTGGGCACAATCCATGCTTTCTGAACATTACTTTGAATACTCTGTTAGAAGCTTCAAGTCATTATAAGTGTATTCCAACTGAGGGTCTAAGAGAAGTGATGGTAGGGACTGGAAAAGATGACATATTTCTACTAGAATAATTGATTTTTGCAACATTGAAAAAAAGGAGTGGCCAGTAGGCCTGTGCGAATCGGTAGCGGTCCTATCTGGAGCTCCAGACCAGGTTTCTAGCTCAATCTGGCCAAAGTGGCTCCGAAGCTTGGGAGCCACCTTGGAGATCTGGCCATAGGGTATAATGGAGAATCAATTAAATATCTATAACTTTGTTGGTTTTTGTCTGATTTGGATGAAATTTTCAGAGATGATAGACTCTGAAGAGAGCATGAAATCTGCCAAGTTTCAAGAAGATCAGTGCAGGGGTTTGGGGAGAACAGCACCCCAAATTCTTGAAAGCAAAACTCCTGTCACATTTACTTGTTACATCACAGGGGGGTGAATACTACGGGGTGGTAGCCTATGCTGAGGCCACAGAGCCTGCCAAGTTTCAAGATGATCAGTGTAGGGGTTTGGGGGAACTGCACCTCAAGCTGCGGACAAGCAAAACTCGTGCCATGGGTGACCCCTTGTGTGTTAAGGCACAGCGGGGTGACAGCTGCAGGGATGGTGGCCCCTGCTGCGGCCACGACACCTGCCAGTTGTTGAGGAGATTGGTGCAGGGGGGTTCTGGCGTGTGGGACTGACTGTCTCTGTCTTGGGGCAGTTGATTGTCTGTGTTGATTCTTTCCTCTCCTTAGCCTGGTTTTGTAGGTGCTAATTGATGGCAATTAACTGGCTACATTAGCTAGGTCCTGTGCATTGAGCTTGTCTGAGTGAATCATGATTGATTGGTAAGTGGTAACACAGTAGCTTAGCAGCCAGTAGTAGTCTCTCATGCCCCAAGACAGGCACAGTCAGTCCCACAAGCACCCATGGCACGAGTTTTGCCTGTCAGCAGCTAGGGGTGCAGGGCCCCAGAAGCCAGAACCCCCCTGCACTGATCTCCTCAACAGCTGGCAGGTGTCATGGCTGCAGCAGGGGCCACCATCTCTGCAGCTGTCACCCCACTGTGCCTTAACACACACAGGGTCACCCATGGCACAAGTTTTGCTTGTCCACAGCTTGGGGTGCAGTTCCCCCCAACCCCTACACTGATCTTCTTGAAACATGGCAGGCTTTGTGGCCTCAGTAAGAGCTACCAGCCCTGCAGTTTTCACCCTGCTTTGTTGTAACGCCTAGACGTGACATGAGTTTTGCTTTCAAGAATTTGGGGTGCAGTTCCCCCAAACCCCTACACCGATCTTCTTGAAACTTGGCAGATTTCATGCTCTCTGCAGAGTCTACCACCTCTGAAACTTTCATCAAAATCAGACCAAAAACAACAAAGTTATAGATACTTTATTGTTTCCCCATTATACCCTGTGGCTAGATCTCCGAGGCAGCTCTGAAGTGCTTTGGAAGGTCTGAACCGCTTCAGGAAGCCGAACGAGGCCAGCGGTTTGACCCAGATGTGCTGCTTCGGACCCTGGAGCCTCCGAAGCTTCTCCAGATCCAAAGCTCTGTCCGAAGCCTCGCATAATTTTGTCCGATCTTGTATAGAGTTACTGCTGAGTGGGATAAAACCAGTGTAACTTACACTGAAATAGGTGTAAGCTTTCTGCAGCTTATTCCAGAGTAGCCATTTGCTCAGGTCAAAGTGAATATTATCACAGCCACTTAGTGGTTATTGTAATACCTGCTTATCCTGCCTGGGACAGATGCACATCTGTCTGCTCTGTAGCCTAATGTAGTTTACTTCAATGTGCAAAATATTGGTACATTATGCTAGTGTAGAGGTGTCTTCTGCTCAGGCCCTATGCCTTAGACAACCTAACTAGCCAAATAAGGATCCATCTATTGTATATGCAGCCTTATAAGATGCTTTCATTTCGTCTGAGAACCTGTGTATCTAATATAAATCCAATGTGGATTACAGATAGACAGTGGTGATATATGCATAAGAAATACTTCAGAAGAGAAGAGGAGAAAAATGCAATCATTGAGTTAGTAGGTTGTTTCCAGCTGTTTGCAACTTGCCAAAAGAACATTTCTCTAGGGGCTGAAATGTTCTCTCTCTGGTCCCAGTTGAAAGATAAGCTATTATGGAAAGTTTGAGCTAAATTGGTTAGGAAATAAATATGCCATACCTAAGAACACAGAAATCAGGAAATCCTATTGTTAAAGTTCCTAAAATTACATGAATCTAGTCATGTTTATGCACACATACTTGATTCTTATGGTTAAATGTATTCCTTGCTATCTTATATTCATTTTTTGTTAAACTATATACTATGAAATGTGTGGTGTTCCAAAGAGCAAAGTCAGATTTGCTGGTGGGACTTCACTTTTGAATCTCCTTTTTTGTGCACTCAATTTTTCAGGCCTTCACAATGGATCTTATGTGCACACAGAGAATTTCTAGAACTGGGCTATCCAAACAGTGGTCCAAAGGCTGTATGCATCCCCTGAATGGTTACCTGTGGTCCCTGGGCTCCCAGTCTGGGTGCCACTCCTCCCATCTCTCTCCTGCTGCTGCTACTGTAATCTCCAGTCTAGCTTCTGCTTCCTGCTCCCCACCTCTGGGAATGGAGTAGGGCAGCCTGCAGGGCCGAGGAAGCTGATAGCAGGTGGACTTGGGTCACCCAGGGACACTGTACAGTGCAGGGCCACTGCTGCATTGCAAGGGGGGAGGGTGTAGTGTAGCAGTGCGGGCATAGTACCACACGGGATGCCTCCCGCACAGCGTGGCCCACACGATATGCAGCTCAAGGGAGAGTGCAACTTGCAGCTGGGGGTATATAGGCTGTGGCTACTCAGAAGTTGGACATCCCTGCTCTAAAACACTGAGGGAATACTATGTGCTGTCTGTGCAGGTGAGATTTGCTAATATTTTATTTTTATCGCCCCAGAGTTTCCTATAAATTAGGTCAATTTGCAGTCTACTTTTTTGGGGTGCTAGGACTTGTGCATATTTAAATACAAATTCAAAATGATTTTCCACATTTAGTTCTGAGGAGAGTCTTACCCCAGTTGATTTGTTGTTTGTTGAAGATTTATCCCTGGCCAAATGGACTAATGATAACAAGCATCTCTCTGGGGCCTCTTGTTTGTCAACTGCAGCTTCTTCATCACTGTCCACACTGCGACTTAAAAGTCGTTCGTTCTCAGAAGAGGCATCATTTTCACTGAAAAATGAAGGGTAAGGGTATCTTACCAAAGCCTTTGATAATCTGATTCCAAATATATCTTTTCTCCTTTCTTCTAGAAATGGAATATGTGTTTTCATCCCTTTTAAAAGTCTGTCTTAAGGGGCCGTTAAGATTAAATCCTACTATTGAGGATGTAGGTAAATGCTCTAAATTACACAGTCATGCATACCCATTGTAAGGGGAAGACTCAGCCATTTTACAAAGGTTGGTTTCTTATGATTTTCATCTAGGACAAAATTCTGGCTCTTTCTGCTTCTCTCTGTATTTAAGAGAGGTCTTCGCAGTCAAGGAAGAAGGTTGCTGTGAGATGGAGCCACCTATGTACTGATCTCTGAAGTTGGAGATAAGATGCATCCTCGAGGTCTGCAGCAGGGGATGCACTCTCCCATTGTAGCTGATAAATAGCAGGGCAAACTTATTGGGTATCTGAAAACTATAGATCTGGAGCAGGCTTAAATTTCCAAAATGGAGCTGTTAGGAGAGAAGACAGCCCTATAGAGCTTATGAACTGTACATTAGAGCACTTGAAAAAAAGAGTAAGACACAGCACTCCTTCCAATAACATTTCCCACCCAGTTAGTCTGAAAACAGATGTCAACTTTGTGCTGCCATAAAAAAAAAAGATCTCCATTTGCAGAGGCATGCCCCAAGTTGGTTTCTTCATTTGTAGTTTTCCCATAAGACTGGGTCCCTGAAGCCCAGGAGCAGCAGGGACCTGACCCTGTAGGACAACTGGCAATGTCTTTATCACCCATTGAAGCAGATCAGCTGGGCCAGGACACATCCCAGCTCTGCTAATGCCACAACAAAAATTACAACTGTTTTTAGCTTTAGTATATTTTCAAATCTAAGTCCTCTCCTTCACAGGTCCAAGGAATGGGGTTTCCAGTTCTCCCTGGTTTCTCTCACTGCTAGAAGTTATTAAGTCCATATTTTCTTTTGATAAATGCATTAATTTCTTTTTCATTATATATCCTTCTACATATTAAATATACGTATCCATTTCCCTCTAGTGTCCTACAATGGTTATTATGCTCTTTTTTCACTTTAACCAAGCTAAAAGCATGTTTATGCCTGTTTTTTCTTACATACCTCTTAACAGTCTTAGCTGGAGTTGCGGTCAATTTTTCAAACTCCTCTTTCTCTGCAAATATCACTACATTTTCTGCAGATCAAAAAAAATAAATGTTTACATTGGCAGAGACTGCAAGTGATATTTTTGCCTCACCAGCTTCTCTAGCTGGCAGTTTTACTACAAACATAAATCTCTCTGTATGTTACTAACATTTTACTTGCTATTGAGAGGATTAAGTGAAATTTTGGTAGTATGAAAATCTTTCTGTATACGTGTTTACTAAATGAAAATGGAGTTCAAGCAGTTAAAAATGGGAAATTGCATGAGATGATGGATCGAGGGAATGTAAGCCTTGTTTTGTCTGGTGTAGAAAAAAGAAACACTATAAAACAACTCAGACCTTTTACTTCTTTCTTCTCTTCTTGCATATTGGCTTGGGCTTCAACCGTTTTTACTGAATGGCTGGTGCAACAGGCTAAAATACAAAGAATTCAACTTATTAATGGTCATTCTTAGCAACTGGAAGTAACATTTTGTAATTTCAGTTTTTATGCTGTGCAGTTACCTTGAGAAGAAGGCTTAGTTTTCACAATGTAAAACATGATGATCAAGACAATGGCAATAGCCATTATGAATATAGTAGACATGGCAATGATAAGAGCAGTAGCCAGATGACCTTGTCCTGACAGATCTGCTGGAGACACAAAGAAATAGGTTTTTGGTAAAGGAGGCCTACTGAAGACAAAGAATACGTATCAGTTTGAGGCCTGCACTGAACTTAAATCCTGCACAATGTATCTGCTTTGGAATTGATAAAATACTATAGAATATCCTTTGTGCCTGATATGCTGGTCACTATAGTTTTACAAATCTATGGAATTTGATCTCTAATAACCAATTAATAGCGCTTCTGAAAATATGAGATCACATGTTTAGGCAAAGATGAAGGAAGTTACATTATCCTCTCTGGGGTATTTTCCTGAAATACATTGTACATGTAATGTTTTCAGTGAGAAGACATTTATTTTTTGCTACCACATTTTGACATCTTTCCATATTTCAACCTTTAAGTGGTTACATAAAATTGTTTTGTTGAATTTTATTGATATAGTTCCTGGTGTAAATAGGAAATGTAGGCAAATAATGTGGTCATGATGTTACTCTGCATCATTTTTTTCTAAGCCAGAATGGAGCTGTTGCTATAAAATTTAATTTATCTTTGTTTCTAACAGGATGTTAATAACAATTGAAAGAATGGTCCTTGTTGCATGGTAATTTTGGGCAGCTCCTAGAGGACTTAGCCCCTGGACTCTCTGTACATTAACACCTTAAAGTTGTTTAAAGCACTCATACAGCTCAAAGTTATGCCACTCCAGGGCAGGATTATCTCTTGATCTGCACAACCCAGCTCCTTAAGATATAGCCACTCCCCACAGATGTGTCACTGAGGTTGAAGGCGTGACTGCTCCAAACTCCAAGCTACTACAAATCTGATCAACGTTTGTGTGGCTCACAGTATAAGGTGTAACAGGGCCCTATAACAGGTTTGTAGGCCAGATTCTGTTGAGGAATACACGCATGTCTTTGGTGGGATGTATGTCTGTGCGTGTCTAAGGATTTGCTTTGTCTGTGGAGAGAATATGGTGTTTCCCCACATTTTAACTTATGGGTTTGTAGTTCCTTGTGTGTAATTGCAAACAGCTGCTAGCTTTCAATTCTGAGTCAAAGTTGAACACTCATCTCAATTGTTAAGTCAGTATATTAGCTTTCATGTATACAATGCAAAATAGCTTAGTGAAACAAGATGTGTGTAATGTTTTCCATGGAGCTAGACCAACATACCAAGTGGACAATCAGTTGGTAATGTTTCATTAGTGCGCGTGTTTAAAATGCCATTGTTGGAAGACTTTTATAAAGTACAGATGAAAAATTTAAATACATTTGGTGCAATTTGATTTGGTTTATATGAATAATAAAACTTGTGTTATGCCATTTGTACAAACACATCTCAGTTAAATAAGAGTTAAAACTGAAATAAAACTTTGATAAAAATATGATGGGAGCCAAAAAGAGAATCTTAAAATAAATAATTCAGTCATCAGAACAGGAGCAGCTCCTGTCTATACAATGAACCTGGGAATGCCTACAAGGAAGGAATTGACTGAAAATTTTTTTCTTGCTAAACGATTTTTTCCTCATCATCACAGCAATATCCTGAAGGAAGTAAAAATATGTTTTTGTTATGAAGTCTGAATATACAGCTACTGACAATATAGTGTCCTGGCTACCAACCTCTTTCTACTAGTAGAGAGCCTCCGTAAATATTATCATTATGAAATGTAAGTCTAGAAGCTTCATTCAACAACTTATCTAATTCCAGCCAGCAGTATTTTGGATTGATGTGGATAAACCTATAAAATGATGCGACATCCATAACTGGATATCTTGTCAGCAGCATGATGACTGCCTAGAAGCATGAGGCAGGTCTGAAAGGTGTGCATGACAATGAAAAGCTGTCCTCACAGATCCCTAGGGCACACCACAGCAAGACAGCAGTGCTGTCTAAACTGAAACATAGTAACTGTGTTTGCTGCCCTCTTCAATAGGAATCAAGAGAAGCTACAAACTAACAATAGACCAGCAGGCATGTCAGATAAATCCTATGGTCAATGCTATTGGCATCTGAAAAGGGAAACAAAACTTCAAGTGCTAAAGCAAATTGGCAGAACTGAATAATGCATAATATCCCGGAGCACTCCACCATCTGGTGTGCTTTACAGTCTCATTGGTATTTTCATACAAGTCAAAAGGATATTTATATATGAATATAGATGTCTCTCTGGAATACTTGGATTAATTTCATTCTGTTTATTAATACTTAGCTATACATCTTGTCAGCTACTTTAGAAGCTTTGTATGTTAAAGCGATTCTCCAACATTAGATATAAGCGAGAGAGTTGGGTTTTTTTCTTGAGGATTCAGTTCCATAATAAAATGTAAACGCTTCCTCAGAAGCCGACTGGATTGACACCTAAGGCACACATCCTTGCACTCAGGCTAAGCTATCATCCTAACTGTAATACTGGAAAGCAGATGGAAAAGCCCAGGAAAGAAGCTATAGTAGATTATTTGGAAGCTGACAATATCTGATCTGCCCCTCAGTGTTTGGAGCTCATTCATGAAATAAATGCATACTGTCAAGGGTAGCCAAATATTTGTTTATTGATAATATGTGCTTTGAAAAGCTGTAACCTTGAAAAGCAAGGTTTTGTGTGTAACTTCCCTATAACACTGGCACTGGAGAAACAAGTTGCCTTTACCTGACGAAGAATAATTGAATATTTTAACCTGCACTTTCTGTACTTCAGAAGACTTGGCTAATCATGTTGATGTCATTTTTCTCTAAGGTGTTTTCAAGACCTCAGAAGAGATGTAACAAAGGGAGAAGACCAAGAAATCTGCAAAGAACTGTTACAGTTGCTTTTCCAACAGAGACTTCACATGTAGTATTGACAGAAGATGAATTTAAAATAAGGTATGTAAGATCAAAGACAGAAATTGGATGCACTAAACAAGGAGCTAAAAGCCATAACAGAGTTTTAGAAAATGTTAAATATTTTACACAGTTGAGAAGCTGAATTAAAAATGATATGATAAAATTTTCTGAAAATGCAATCTTCAGCATCATGCATACAGATAAAACAAAAAAAATCAGCTGTGCTAATCCTTTTTATGCTGCGCTGCAGTGCCCTTATTTTCATGTGTTCTGACAAAGCAAGAACCCCCGCTCCCAGCTGTTTGTTTTAGCACCAAATGAGATTGGCCACATTGTTGCATTAAATTATTTGCAGGTGCCTGGTGGCCAGTCTCTGTTGAAGCACAATGCTATTTCTCTTTTTCTAGAAACAAGGAGCTAACTTAATTACTACCATAAATGAGTACAAGTCAGTTGAAATCCATTTTAAGTCCATCTGCACTAAATGGATATCAATGATTAATCAAGGAACAAAAAGTTGTTATATATATATGTGTGTGTATATATATATATATACTGATTCTTCAAAGCGAGGAATATAATGAAAATCAATATTACAACAGGTGTTTTCAATTCAGCCAGGTTGTCACTTGATGTCACATTGTGAAGAAATATCTGCTGAATTAAGTGTGCTGGTGCTTCTTCTTACCTTTGTGTGCGTGCTGGAAAGGTGAGAAAGTGCTTGTGCCGGAAGTACTTGGGAAAATGGGTGAAAGGCCTGAGGTAGCACCTGCACCTGCAATATTAAAAACATTAATTTGTACTAAGACCAACAACTTAAGAAATTTTAGGGTTAGATTTGCTTGATCTGTTCTCCCAATGCAAACGTGTCCTGGTACTGGGACTTTTCTAAGGGTTTATCAGTAACACTAGCTACTCATAAGCCCGGCTCCATCACAGAGTCTGCAGCCAACCCATTCAGTCCCCAGAGTTAGAAGCTGAGCTGGGAAGTCCTTCAGATCATTGTAGCTTCCAAGCAATTTCTATCAATGAGATTTCTGTGAAGCTCTGTTTTGTTTTTAAATGAGCATTATCCTAAGGGAGCCTTTAGAGAAGATGGGAGGGAAAAGTACTGTAGGATATCTTTCCTCTTGGTGAATCCCATCTTCCATGAAGCTGCCCCTATGGGATATGACTGTTTTTTGCAGGTGGCAGGATAAGTTTCATATGATTCCTCCTGCTAGTTAAATTGATCTTCCAGAAGAAAATATGAGCCACAACAGGAGAGAGACAGAGCCCTCTCTTCTATGGTAGGGAGCAATGCGCATTGACAAGAGACTTGGATAAGGTGACTTCCTGGTCTTTTTTCCCACCTCATTTCTTTGGCTAATTTATAAATTGACTCTGTTTAATCAATATATATACTGTGTTTTCAGAGCTGGAGAATCAGGGGAGAAATTGTTTCCTTTTGCCCTAGGCAACTACAGAAAATCAGCAGGAACTAAAACTTCGGCTAAATACTTATTTTTTCATACAGTATGCCACCATGATATGGTTCCAAATCAAAAATTAGAAGTTTGGGTTATTAGTGTTAGAAAATAACATTATATTGACTCCTGCAAGAACTTTTAAAGTAATTGGCAAGTGCCAAAAAGTCACTATAAACAGACACTGAAAGATTTGAACACTTCTAATGACACAGGCATAGTGGCATAGGCATCTTATACCAGCATGATAAAAAGTTCACTAGTTCTTATATTAACACTGTGTGGAGAAAATCAGATATAAATTAATTCAAAGATACTCTTCAAATAAAGGTACGGTACAAATAGACAGTGCTTGTATTAGGACAGAGCCAGCATGGGGTCAAGACCTACTCTGCAAGGTTAGTTCGCAATTGAAAAATGACTGGTGATATTCTGCTGTCCTGGGAAATGCAGCAAGAAATGTTAGTGCATCATTTAAGTTTGGCAGGAAATTAAGCTGTCTGGTAGGGTATGAAAAATGTTTTGTGGCTGAAGAGCAAAGAATTATATATGCTCTTCAAATAAAAAGAATAATGCGTTTATAAAATGAAAAAAATATTACCTAACATTAAATGTTGCTTTATGGAGGGTATGATAAATACACACTCTTAACTTGGCAGATGGCTTCAAAAGGTTTTTTTTATAACAATGGCAAAACACTTTCTAAATTCCATTTGCTGTTATGGAAGGGAATGTATTATATTTGCCGTTTCCATAATTGGAATAATACTTGTAGAACATTTAAAATATACGCATTTATTAACTCAGGTGCTTTCAGTATTATTTAAATAAACTAATTACATCTATTTATTCTTTAAAATATTCACATTGAATGAAGATCTTTAGTTTGATGAAGCCATAGCAACCAGACTGATGACTAAAAATCTCTTCCTGTTTGTGAAATACTTGTGAACTATGCTTAACAAATCATAAGGCCAAACCAGTAGTTCTTATTCAGTCATCTCTTAAGCAAAGTTTTCATTGACTAGGTTTCTTATATGCCTAAATATGAGTTTTGCTTGAAAAAGGGCTTTAGAATTTGATGCTGAAAAGCTACTTTAAGGAAGAGATTTGCTGTATCATCCAACGCATCTTCTTGCCAGTGTGGGACCGTTTCTTTTATTTCTAGTCTTATTCTAATCATTTTAAAAGAGAAACTTTCATAGTCGGAAATACCTCCTGATAAGGAAGTCTGTACTTGCTATGTTGCCTACTTTTTAATATCTTTTCCCTTAATTTCTAGAGCTAGGATGAACACATTTCTTCTCTTGCATCTTGGTCCTTTTTTGTGATAAACCTAGCTTAAAGAAATGTTCCCACACTTACTCATAACCAAGATCAGGGTTTTTTTCTCCCATTTAACATGGAGGGCCCTCATCTTAGATTTGAGTACAAAGAGGTGGAGGGTGTGTAGCCGCTGCAGCCCCAACTACACCCCAACCTGGGGTCAGGATCAGAGTTCCCAGCTGCCGCCTGCACCCTCCTGCTCCCTGCAGGT